TTCACTCGTCTGACTCAATTTAGCTATGGCAAAACTAATTCGAGAACTGAATGACTATCTCTACTTGCCGGTATAAGTAAATACACATAATATGTAGTTTGCATGGTTTTTTGGTTTTACTACTCAAACGTTTTATGTCCGAGAAATTCCAATATTATCATTAAAGGGCCCAGATTCTGAAGGCATGCCACTCAATCAAAATGTTGTGGTTCTTGCAGTCGACCATGAAAATATTGGAGTGACCTGGCAGTAAGCAAAAAAAGGCAGCGAATTTGTCGGCGATTGCCCCTAGGAGCCTACCCCACAGACAGGGTTAACCGTGCGTTGCGCAGATTTCGAAATTTCTAAGACCCCCTCCTTTCACGATGGATCAGTTATACCCTCTTCCAGCAGCTATTTATGTCTGTTTACAAATTTTTACGCCCGTATTGATGTGTGAGCCATCATCGGCAGGGAAAGGGGAGCTGGGTAGTGGGAAGCTAACACCGAGAAAGGGAATCGAGCAGTATGAAATTTTACTCATTAAATTGGGTAACTAACTTCCAACATTCGGCATGAACATAGGCACGTTTATAATCGCAAAGAGTTCTACTTCCAGAATAGAACCAGATGTTCTTCGAGCCTTCAAATCTCTCCTTTTTGTTAAAGCCACGAGTCAGGATTAGGTGGTCCATAGAAGGCCTTTCCATCACTACTATGGCCAGGACTGCGCTCAGAGGGGTGACGCCACACTCCTGACTCGAGATTGCGCGCCGTCAAGGCCTCTGGCCTACTACTTACAGCGATGGGTTCGTTTCATCAGCGGGATGTGGTGCGTGGCTGGCCTAACGTGTGAGATCAGCTAGGTTGATTGCCGTATCAACCGATGGAACGGCTGGCATATCCGGAAAACTCGTTTGGACGTGGCTCTCCCCAAGCAAGCCTCCTTCACTGCTAGTGGGAAGAGGGTTTCGTTTTCGGCCTTGTCGACGGTTTCTTTTCGTTTTTTCTCCACTGTCGTTCCACTTCGCATCTCTATACTCAGTTTCAGTCGCCATAATACCCCCTTATTGAGCCCGACTTTTGCCTTCAAGTGGAAAACTGAACCTTGAAGTACATTGATTTGACTACCCTCCATTTGAGAGGCTATATCTTTCTTCATTTCTTAGAAGACGTGATATGAAGACTGATATGAAAATTTCAACATACATGCGTTCCTTTCCAAAAAAACAGTATATCTAATTCACCATGCAAAGCTCAGTTCTTTCAAAAACGGAACATTGTTTTGTTTTTTTGGTCAATCCCGTAATTTTTATATTATTTTAGATTATTACCTGCTTTCTTGGTATCATATTTATATCTGGAAAAAAAGAAGTATTGTGTCTTTAGATGGTATGTCCTTTTTTGTGTGCACGCGATTTTCAAGCAAAATACAGTAACGTTTCATTCGAGTTGCCTGTCACATATCACCAATCAATTCATCCCTCAAGACTATAAGAAACTGGAAGATTCGCTCTCACAAGCTCTCACAAACACCTAGAGTTCTTTTCAAAAGCCTTCGAAAAATGTCTCGTTGTTCCATTTCAAGATTTTGTGGCCCGTTATTTAGAACGAAACAAGTTACCTGCCCGATCTTCAACGCCAAGAGGACCACCAAAGGTCTGGACGCTTTCCGACATGAAGTTAATTCTCTGATTAGCACCTCTTCAAAAAATGTCGCCGCTTTTCGTTTATTCCCTCTACCTGGCTTTCTGACCCAATTCGCTTGAAATGCGATTTCAACATTCAACCTCCACAGTGTCCTCAAAAAGGGTGCAATAAGAAGAAGGTGAAGACTATTGGGATCTACTGAACCAGTTGAGCTAGAATATGCTTAACCCTCCTGAATAGTGCCGGAATCAGAACCTTGCTTCTACCAGCAATTTCTGTGAGAGCTCTAGAAGTCAATCCCCCAAACTAATTGCACTCGCCTCTCTTGATTTGATCTGGAAGCACCAGGGTTCTCCTTGAGAAAATTATTTACTCGAGCTCACCAGGATATGAAGTGATTTCAACAAGATTTAATGCCTGAATGCGATATTAACAGTCTGTAATTAGCTAAAGTGCGCATGATAAATTGCGAAGTCTTCTTCTAGTTAACTTTGCATGACTTGAAACATTCAATTGTCGTGGCTACGCTTGTCTCACGGGCTCCGCCCGCTCTTCCACTGCACAAAGTACGACGTTCTCTGTGATCTTTTGCCGCAACTTAGTTCTGTCAGAACTTCTTCACAGATCGAAGGCATACGCAGCTCACCACCTCCATTGCCTAGGTTGTGTTCTTCAAGTGATTATTTTCGGAGGTCGTAGAAGAGAAGAAACATGTTGAACTATCGGCACGTGGGCCCCCTAGATAGGTTCAGGATGATTTTTACTTAGCCACGAAAAAACTCCTCACGCGCAATGCAACCATACCCGCAACCTGCATCGCCCACTTAACTAGGCCTCCCCCTCCATCTGATTACAAATTTTAGCATAGCATAGGTGTGTAACGTTTGCAAGGCAGCACCGATGAGGGCTTGCTAGCCTAATGCGCAAAGGAAGTGAAGAAAGGGTCCCATTTTTCCGTGTTTAGGCCGTTTCTCGTTTTCCTACATGCACCACCCACCACTGCTACTTTGATTTTCATTGGGCAGCCTTTTCCATGAGATTCGTCTCCAGCGTTTTTTGCGTTAATGGCCATTTTTTTCGAGGACGAGTGCAGAGTACCAATTGAGTAACTGAGATACCACCGAAGTCTCCAATCTTCATTCGCCCACATTCTTCTTACAAAAACCTTCACACAGCAATCCATATTATCATTTCCCTGAAGAGAGTGCAGCGGAATGAGTCCATTTTGAAAAAAAAAAAAACAGAAGACTTCCAGTTTTTGAGTTTTCAATTATCGGTCGCATTGAAGTAAAGTTTGAACTGAGGGAAGCAATAGAGGCAGTTCACCTTGAAAAATGAAAGTGACCAGCCTTCTGAAGACGCGTCATGGACCTCGAACCCAAAGGTACATAATGTTAGTAGTGCCGCTGCACCCATTACACACATGTAAATCCACTTTGTCCTAAATCTATCGAAAGTGATATTTGGAGAAGACGATTTTTCGGAAACTTTGGAAACTTTTTTTTCTTCAAAAATGTCGATTTCTTTGAAGTCATAAGTTTTCGTTAGATTAGAAGCCAATAGCTCTCAATAAAAGCGTTCGCAAGGGAGTCACGGTGTTCGACGGTAAGAAAATTCAAAGAAAAGCAATAAGACATGAGGAAGAGATAGGTTAATCAATGGTATAGAGCGGCAGGTCATACATTATACGAAGAAAAGGAAACGGTGGAAGCAGTTTTCGAAAGGCCCAGCGCTCTTGTTGTGCACTACTGAACCGAGAGAACGGGGAGCAGCCGCCTTCGTGATCAGCTATCCATTTGAAACGATTCATCCATCTGAGCTCATTCTGAGTTGCGTTTTCAGGTCTAAGGTTCATCATTACACATGGCCTGCATGAACTCAAAACATTATAACTTAAAGGCATGCTCCGGGACGCTCCCGCTCGCCTGTTCCATCCCGGGGGTAGTAGACAGGCGGACAAGCGTTGATTCGCCCCTTGAAAGTGCGCGACAAAGGCGCAAGGAGCTCGTCCGACCCGCAACTCACACCTTCGTCCGCAAGCCCCACCCTCCGCTGTCGGTTGCCACGTGGCGCTGCTTGAAAAGCGCGGGCGCATTTGAGGCAGCGGTCCCATCGCGACCCAATGTTATTGGCACTGGAGCAACTAGAGTTAGGTTCGTGAAACTCGTCCAACGCGCCCCTTCTCTATCCCAAGGTGGAATGCGGCTGAAATAGGGGAGGTCTCTGTACGGGGCGTAATCGGTGGTTTCGTTTGCTTTCCTTCTCTTTTACAGACCACCTCCCACCTCTAGCTTCATAACTGAACGCTTTTCCACACCTATTTTATCCCGAATCTTGCCTTTAATAAATTATTGATCGATATTCTATTAAAAATTATTGATCGATATCCTATCTCAGTATAATTCTAACCGTACCTGTCCACTAGTAGTAATAGTTTTGACCCACATGTTGTCTCGATGAACAACCTTTCCAGTTTTAAGATCTACCCACTCCTGAAAGTAATTACCCTCGAAAGCATCATGTATCTCACGAAAATAGGGCGCGATCCAGAACAGTGTGCACAAGCACAGTCCGAAAGAATTGACGAAGCGACGAAAATGCGCTAGTATTACGATTTATACTTTTCGCATTCCGTTCGTAAGAGAAGAAGTAACTCATCTTTACACGCAAGGTCGTTACCTACATTTCCATGACTACCAACGTACAGCAAATCATCTTTGATGTCATCCACTCGCTTTTGAAAGGGTGGGTCGTGTTTCCTGGCCCAGAGTTGAGAAATACCCATGGAATCATCTAAACTCTCCTCAGATCAAATTCTTGTAGAGCGTTTCTGGACACTTCCTTACCTTACCGTTCCTGATCTCGCTAATCATTCCGGTTCGGTCATCAGGAGTAAGGGTGCGGTTGTGGAAAACTGACAAGTCAGATAATTCCATCGCACGTCCTTTGACGTTCATTGACCTGAACGGTGGCATCTCTCCCAATTTCTTATATGTAAAAAAGATTACTTGCTTCATTTGAGGCTTATTTAGTGCAAAACTCGTCAAATTCTTTTCGCTGTACAAAATCACTTGTTCACCATTATCGTTCACTATACGTTATTTAAAGCTAATACCTTGCATTTCTTTCGTACTTGCTTTAGTTCCACGAAAATCAGTTTGAAAAAGTATTACATCGTTTCAAGTTTTAAAACCACAGTCACGATCAACTGACTCATAGAATAGCCTTTCCATCACTTACCCACTAATATTTCCGGGAATGCGCTCAGAAGGGGTGATGCCACACTCCTGACTCGAGATTGCGCGCCGTCAAGGCCTTCTGGCCTACTACTTACAGCGATGGGTTCGTTTCATCAGCTGGTCCCGCCCACCGCGGGATGTGGTGCGTGGCTGGCCTAACGTGTGAGATCAGCTAGGTTGATTGCCGTATCAACCGATGGAACGGCTGGCATATCCGGAAAACTCGTTTGGACGTGGCTCTCCCCCGAGCAAGCCTCCTTCACTGCTAGAAGGAAGGGGTTTCGATTTCGGTCTTGTCGACGGTTTCTTTGCGTTTTTTCTTCACTGTCGTTCCACCTCCCATCTCTACACTCAATTTCAGGCGCCATAATGCCCAAACACGAGCCTGACTTTTGCCTTTAACTCGCAAGTGACAGAAAAGTTCTTCAGCGGAGTTTTTCGATTGTCTGACTTCCGAAGTTTTCTGAACACAAAAGGGAATTTTATGTGCCTTCTAATTGCAAGGATGGAATCGGACCTTTAAAGACCCCCTCCATAAAAGCTATCGCAGCTTTAATCTATTAAAGATAATTTGCGCCGTTTAATAACTACCCGTTGACCCACGACTCCGTCCTCACTGATGCTGGCGCGTGACTGACATGGGCTGATTAACCACCGTCGATGGCTTCACGTCTGATGACGGGAAGCATGGCTGCAAGCCGGAAAGCTTCCGAATCACCTGGCATATTCCTTAGATCGCCCCATAAGCAAGAGTAGACTTTCATCCATGCAAGACTTTCGTACATGCAGACACCGCCTTCAGAATATGACGTCATCCTGCCATCACCGTCGGGCTCGAGGTGTGCTACCGTAATCGCTCCAGCCTGTAGCTGCTATATAATTTCTTCACTCGGTTAATGATGGACAACATCTCAGACACAGTGGCTGTGACTATGACTATGACTACACTCGTTGTGCTGTGCCCCTGTGTTGACTGTCCCTCCTTTTCCACACTGAATATCACAAGCACGGCTCCTTCGTCGAACAGCCGATGGACATAATTCTAGTACAACTCCATGCCATTCTTCGCCACAAATACCATTACAGCTTGGAATTGTCTATTCCAATTTAGAAACTGTCATCCAGTCCGTTGACAAAGTTCACGGGATGGCATGTATGCCGACAAAAGGGGAGGGTTCGTGTTTCGCAGGGCTCGAGGGGACGTCATAATCCTAACCTTCTAATGGATGATCGTGTGTAATCTCTTTGGCTTTGTGATATTTAAAAAAAATATCTTTACTTGTTTTCATATATACCCCTTCTCGACGGCTATTTGGAGGAAATGTGGGTGGAGTTTAGTAACCGTTGATGTGGGGGTCGTAAATGTTCGAAAATTTCTAAACGTGACGGTTGACCCTGACTGTATCTAGTCCAGTAGCTTATGGTTAACGCATAGGTCCCTAACTTCGGCAATATTCTGCGATCGTTGCGTTAGAAGCAAACAACCAACGTCATAGCTAACAGTGAACGATAATTCAACGAGTGACAAGTGACGAGAATAGAAAACAGAACCCAAGCAAGAGACGAATAGAACCTTTAATAAACCATGGGTTGCGCGAGTACCCGTCCATTAGCTCACATTAGCCGTCATCATCTCAACCTGTAACGTCATAGCGTCATTGTCGCTCCCTTTCAATCCGCGACAACAGCACAACTGTGACATTGCGAAGTGGCCCACTCACCTAACCACAAATAGATGTTCGAAACACGATCTCATTTGGCCTTTGACCAAAATTCTTATCTGGAACTAGTTTCTTCACATGCTTGAATTGCCTTGAGTTGTTGAGTTCATCGAGTTTGATTCACGATTTTTAGGCGATTTCGTCTTCTCACATTCTATTGCGATGAACGGATTATAAACTTACGACGTCAAGTTGTGCTCCGACTGTGATTCCCATGAAATGTTTACATGCGTCCGGTTACGGTTCAGTGTAAGGAAACCTGTTCGAGAAACAGATCTCCATAACCATTCTCCCGCTCTTGAATCTTTGTCCAGATCGCTACAATGAAACAGAGTATACGTAGTTGAGCCATCACTATTAACTTGAACATGAGCTGGCTTGGTCGGTGTAGGCTGTAAGTGATTATAAGTTAAATCAGTTGTAGTGAGCAGTTGTTTAAAGTATTCCTCGAAGTGCCTAATATTGGAAGCGCCAAACATCGGAGTAAACTATTTTATGACAGTTTTAGACTAGCTCGGATACTCTGTAATTTTGCGATTTGAGTTCATCTTCCAAAATTAAGGAAGCGACACTAAAAATTACACTGGAATTCATAGAAATTTTGATGGAAGCTGGAAATAATATATGTCGTCTAAGCATGATTTGAAATACCCCGAAAGAAACTCAAAATATTCAATTAGTGATTGCTGAACTACCTTTAAATTGCTTCAGCCTACTATATTAAACGCATCCAGAATGAAGTATTTATTACAATAGATCAAACCTTATTAATTCAACTTCAACGACTCATAACGGAGAACGTTAAACATCCTGAAGTTTCCCAAGTTACATCAAAACCAACCGTTAAGCCTCAGCAAATCATGTTAAAGCAATAGACAGGCATCGCTACAGAATAAATTTCGATATCTCGACTAGTTTGACCCCAGCCGATTTGCCGAATTTTTGATTTGAACAAATACAGCTAACACACTTATCCTATGTAGAACACATGTGTTACTTCGGAAAGCTCAGCTGTTTAATTTTTGCTTGACTTCTTCACTTACGCTCCGCCAACCATTTTTTAACATTCCGCCGAGCATGCATCGTGCCGATGATCTATCGACTCAGGTAATTTTCATGCTTATGTGATACCAAATGTGACAGCGCTTTTCTACCTAACAAGTGACGTCTTAAGCCACGCTTTTTGGAAACGGTTCAGTACATGTTGTAGGGACGCATGTATGGACCACAAAACCATGTTTCGTTTTCGCTGAACGGTTTTAGTAGTACCAAAAAAGTGGTGAATAATACTCTTGATGGTTCAATCCCCGCGGCGACTAAATTTTGCAATCAAGGTTGGTCCACTGTTGGCTTTTACACGCGATTCACAACACCAGTAGGCGCTCAACCCAATGCAAAATTTATTCCGTCCACCCTCGGGTCGGATCCTAACAGTACTTTATGCTTTTTTTTGGTAACTCGCTATTAGCGTTCAGAGCGACCAGACGTGTTTGCGTTCCCTTGGCATACGTACCTTCACAATATGCCGCGAACCGTTCTTGAAGAAGCGCTCCTTACCAAAAACCTCCCTTCTTATAAGAACAAGACCGCTCACCTGTTGCAAAGGTGAAGGAAATCACGAAGATTGTGTACATTCTCTTTCGCATCGTAGAGTGAGTCATGTATAGTCACTAGTTTCGGTCCTGCATTCCGTTCCCCATGAGACTCGTCTTCATGAAGATCAAGCCCTTTCAAATACCTCTTCCTGTGACGGTCCTGACTCCCGATTCACCAGAGTCAACCCTGCGTTGCGCAGTTTTCAACGGCCACGTTGCGCAGTTTCGCCCGATTAGACACGTTCTCTCGCGCGAACATTCACACTCGCATGCTCGAGCCGTCTGTGTCTCCGCCCATACAGCGTGCGTTGAGGATCTCTCAACGTGCCGTTGCGAACTGCGCAACGCAGGGTTGACTCTGCTCACCATCGTACCCAAGTCACTCATTGGAGAATTGCTCGGTCTCTGGCTACGTCCAGGTACTGGCGTCATATAGAAAGTAACTATTTAAATCATCGTCTGGAATTTGGAGTGTTCAAAGAATGGGTGGATGGATGCATGATGCAGTGGAGAGTGAACTGCTCGTGCCATAGGTAAGGAGGCCAAAAACATTTAAGGGGATAACACAAGAATGGACAAATGGAAGCCCTTTAATTCTTTTTTACAATCTAAATTCTACAAATCATGTTTACTTCTGTAAGTGTTTATTCGAACAAAGAGCTTTTTCGTTTATTTTCCCTCTCATTGCGAAATATGATACTCAAAAGAAGAATCACGAAAACAACGAAAGAAGGTAAACCATGAAAAAGCGAACCAGAACCAAACGGCCCAGAACCCGAGAAATGGGACCCCTTCCTTGCCCGTTGATTTGCGCATTGATGCGACTCTCATCGCTGTGCCCTCTTCAACACTACGCTCTCTCTGCTATCTAATCACTCGCCACGTATAGACCTGCGGCGAGTGATTAGATAGTCGGTGGGCGTACCCCGCCAACCGCGCCAAGAGTGAGCCATGCTAGATCGCCGAGGTCAAATCTTTCGCTGCCAATTGCGCGTCAGTCCGCACCCTCAGGAGGTCCGCCTGTCTCCAACTAGGCAATTTCCTTCTTCTTTCGTTTTTCTTCCTTTAAGCCACTGAGATATGAGGACCGAACCAAGCGATTTCCATGTGCGATTCGTTCGAAAGATGGTGTTCCCGATCTGCCAAATCGTTGGCGGGAGTTTCAGAGCCTCAGTAGGATGCACTATGGGGGATCCGAGGGCTTAATTCAATCGTCGAGGTACACAGCAGTCGAAAGACATATCAATGAATACAACGGCATTTAGGGTTTCGACAGAACGTCACTATCTCGCGCAAGCTCATCAGTACTGTCGAGAACGTCGGGCCTCACTTACAATGGTACGATAAGGGAGTGGAGCGAGGCTCTGCATAGCAGGGCCCTGCTCCTCTCCCATATCTACCCATATGTGCAATCCGACGAAGGATTGTGCACAGAAAAAGAAGTTCAGTGGCATCTCTATGGAGAGTAGAAACCTATATGAATAATAATATACAAGGATGAAGCATAGGCCGTGAAGTACCTTCTGGATAGAACTACACATTCTGTAAACCTCGGCAGATTCTCAGCGTCATAAGGATTTCACGAGGCCTGTGCAAGGGGTTCTCCAATTTTATGACATGTGTTAGGTATGCAATGGGTTTCGACACCTTTGTTCAAAAGCTAATAATTAATTTGGTAAGCTGACCGAATCTGATAGTTTAAAAATACTTGAGGTGAGAGAAACATCATAGAGCTTATTTATCTTACACTCGGAAGTGGTGTAGTGGCAAGTGGCACGCTTACCACGCGAGCGGTCCGGGGATCAAATCCTGGGTCGTGAGTCGCCCGGGCCAACCAAGCCTTCCATCCCTCCGGGGTCGGTTAATTGGTACCAGACTTGTCTGGGAGGAACACGACTTGTACATCGGCTGGCAAGTCATTGTATAGGCCACATCGCATTCAAACGCCACTACGAATGTACAAATGGAAGTAGAATGCGTGCCGCATCCCAAAAAGGGATTGATCAACGGCAAATGCTTTATCCTTATCCTTTTTAGGGTCTTATTAACCCGAACCGAAGTCTGATTACTCCAAGGAAAACGAATTTTGAGGAAGAGCACAAACTCGACGCAGTCCAATCATTTATTGACA